GATGCCTTCTAATATACCTAAGTTCACTTTAGAATGAAGAGATTATGTTTATCAGACTCTACTTTAACTTAATGGCAGTGGAGGTAAAAGGGGAATGATGAGCGCGAATTAGCAACATCCTGGACACGGCGCACACGAAGTGCTGAGGAGGCTCCTTCAAAGGGGCATTAACGTGACATAAGTACTCCAGCATCACGTAGGCACAAGTCTGCAGGCATCCTACTGTCATAAATAGGCTGGCCTTATGCTGACATCGGCACGCACATGACGGAGTCGCCAGAATTTTGCTACCAGGGAAAGAAGATCTCGTGACTCGGGAGACATTAATTTGGCGCGAAAGCAACTGATGCACCTTCGAGAATTCAGCAGCGCTTTTGTGATTTCCATTGCAGGCAACAACCGCTGAAGTGTGAAGTTAGGCGCATGTGATGACAATGAACAACATTATTTTACTTATTTTTACTTGTGAGACTAACTTGTTGAACAGGATTTACTTGGTAGGTCTTTATTGCAAGTAAACTTTCATGATTAACTTTCGGTGGGGCAACTCGCACTAAACCAACCAATGGCTTACGTGGGTGGGCATTGGTTAGTCAGCTAAATAGCGGATAACCAGCAAAGTCAGTTTAACTAGAAATCAGAGTCGCGGCTCCGCGGGGCTGCACCTGGAATGAGACAACCCAAACACAAAAAAACGAACAGGCGCCAATGGATTAAAACGAAAGCAATCGCAAAAATAAAACGGCGGGGTAAAACAAATGATATGACGATTATGGAATCCGAGACATCGAACGAAGGTGCGAAACAAAAGGAAGGAAAATGACAGCTAGGAGAAATGCGACTGCAGGACGCAAAATTGCAGATGAGGAGCAAAATGTCCTCAATTTCGCGACAAGTGACACTACTGACTTCTGTGACTTGGTAGTCGGAATACCAGGCCTTCCGTGTGTACGTGAGCTGAATCGGCTCAATCCTGCGACAAGTGGCCATACAGTTTGCAAAATCCTGACGACTGTCTACTGATTCACGTATGCGGTGACAAAGTCGCGCAGAGGTGCGTAGGTTTGTGCAACGTCTAGGCTGCTTGACGCGCAAAGGAACGATGCACGATCATACGCGCAGCTGCTCTGCGCTCTTCAATGCGCGCCTGCAGTTAGGATTGACAGACGCGGCCGGAAAATTAAGTACTGCGACCGCTTCTGCACCTGAGACATAGGCCGATCAGCGAACCTACAGTTTACAAAATTCATCCCGTCTACGACTGCGGCGTAAGAACAGGCTGCGGTTGCAGACCGAATTGACATAACATTTGTCATGACCTTTCCACGCATTCAAGCCGCAGTGTTTACCAAATGGTCCCCCAATGTTCCACTATCCGCTTATGAGGTCCTTCGGCAGAACAAACCTCAATAATTAAATGTCTTTTTGACAAAAATTCAACAATGCAGAGATTCGCTTAGCAGTGAGTGTACCACGAGCTATCGATGACTTTGATATTGCTTCCTATTTCGAGTGATCCGCGTTATGGTTAGCAGGAAAATTGATCGTTTGCTATGTACCGTTAATAGGATTAAACTTACCTGCTTAATATCGGGCTTTCACTGTTTCTCTAAATCTGTTCTCTCAGCTAGGGGAGCTACATGTCGAAATGCAATGGAAAATTGCGATATGCATACTTACCTGTGTTGGTGAAGCTTGGCACTTTGCATGGATTGTGGCTCGCCTTCACCGTGATTATGTATTGTCGTGCTATGCGTTTGTTAGATGAGTGTGACGGGGTCTGTTGTCGAAAGCCTGCGCACGGGTTGCGCAAACATTACGAAGAAAAAATCAAGAGAGCTTAAATACTATCTGTCAGGAGGGCCTAAACTCCCAAATACAAGAGCTGTCCAAACACTGGAGGCCATGTGCTTTCTCCCTTCCGCGTTGTCAGCATAATCGTGGCTGCTCCTCTCGAGTCTGATCGATCCATGTGTTCGAATTATCGACCAGCTCGTCTACACAGTTCTTCTCGAAGTGCATTGGGTCAAATGCAAGTGAACCCCAGTAGGATGTTATAACTACGCGTTACTTTCCCAGTTATACTTGACTTGCAGTTTCCTGAGTTAAAAGGGGATTGACAGTGCCCAAGGGGCGCTATAATAAACCTATTCTATTCTATCCTAATAGAATATTTCGTGACAGTTCGTGTTCTCCTTCTCATCCGCGTTGGTGTTGGGGACGTGAGTCGAGTGTGCATACGTTCCACGTGACTTCAATTGTCAGACAATGTCATAAAACTGTCCCAATCGTGTCAGGGATCACAGCAGTACTCGCATATCACAGAACGCCTACTTACAGTTACATCTCGAAAAGCACAATAAAATGAGATCACAGCCAGTTGGTGCATCACAGCCTCACTCGGACCTATCTTTCGGGGTGTTGCAAAACTGCACAACCACTTCTCACATATCAGCGGGTTTTCGAGCAATGTTCATTGAATTTACGTTGTCATGAAACATATTTGAATTTAACTCCCCTACTCATGATGGTATTCTCGCCACAGGCACTACACGCGTCCGCAAATGAGGTTTCGTCCATGTCCGCAGTCCTCTCCCTCAAATACCAACCGGGTATCCCAGAGTCCATGCGTATACGACTAATGCTTTCATTACTCGTGTAGACGGTTATGCTCGTCGGTCGGCTTCTCAGAGGTTTTCAATGCGTCCAGGGGTGTCGCGTGCATGGCCAGCCATGAATGCGGAAGTGTCATGGGGCAGCCAAACGCCCGATACGGATGTTATTTGCGCTGAGTCGAGGATTTGTGGAGATCGATAAGGAGATGTTCGGAAAAGCCTACGGGACATTCGTCCGGTCTCACTTATAGTATGCAGTCCAGGCCTGGCGACCGTGGTTCAAGAAGGGTTATAAACAGCTGGAATGAGTACAGGCGATGGCTATTAGGATGGTCAAGAATCTTAATGATCTGCCTTACGAAACTAGACTGACTGCAGTTGGTTTAATTACAGTCAAATGCGGGCGATCACATTCAAACCCGCCGGATTGTCAGAGGCTGTCGGTGTGACCTAGACTTTGATGTATTCTTAGAATTGGCCGGGACGAACCGTCTGCGTGGTCATCCCTCTAAACGGCACGGGAAGCTGACCCACACGGGCGTCCGACGGAACGCCTTCTCACTAAAGGTCACTGGGGCATGAAACAGACTCCCTGATGTGGTGGTTCTGTCCGAAACTGTTGAATCCCTTAAGCGCTGACTAGACGCTCATTTTCTGAGGAAATACTGTGCATATAACAACGGTTGCGTTAGTGAAGGCAGTTTGCACCTGGCTCACACTTGCCGTTTTTTGATAGAAAATCTATTTCTATTGCTGTTTTTTCGATATGAATAGACAGATCAAGGGTGAAAGCATCGTCCCCTTAATGAACTTACTTCAGGTGACTTAGGGAGTAACATGTCATTGCATCGAATAAGTACAGAGGAGGCTTGGTTAGAACCGAACTGTTCGACAAACACATCACCCTTCTCCCTCATCTGAGAACGACGATGTCGTCCCACATGCCATCTTCCATTTCATCCCCGTTCGGCTGTGGAAGGAAGTCGACAGGCGACCCTTGTAGACAACCAGATGGGGCATTCATGATCCGGTCGGTGAACGCATCGACTTCACGTTCCTCAAAGCGTCCACGCCCACTTCTCCACGATAGACTACACATGACTCATGACTACCTCATACGTGTGGTCCCTTGTGAAAGGCCTCCGTTTTTCTCCGATGAGAGTGTCATCTGGAAGTAATTAAAGGCCCCGTGTCAGCATGCTAGTCGACGACAGGCTTCTCACGTACGTCTACATGGAATTCCCACCTGCTCTTTAAAAGAACCCGATAGGTGTCGACGTAGTACTGCTCGAGGAAGTTCCGGATGTCAACACACGGCAGCTGTCAGTTGCGATGTAACCGACATCTGCACGTTTCGGCCGCATTGCTTCAAACCTCTCACCGGCATTTTCCTGACTTTTGATTAGCATGATATCTATGGCGAAACCAGCCAGCTTTTGGGACATTCCGCTGGCATGTTGTAGCGACTGCAACGCCAATACTCGTTGTCATGTAGCCTATCACTGTAGGAACTACCCTATGCTATGAAGGCAGTCGGTGAGAGATATGTATATTCTACACTACTGCACCGGTGCACTATTTGGACTTTCTATTTTATTTCTGGTGTTGGCACCGTGCGTTACAAGCTCACCTCGAGCTAAATAAACTCACCGTCATCTACACCGCCACCATCTGCTGAAAATGTGCGGCGATAGCGCAGGAAACCTACACCTCTTGCTGTTTATTAGCATTCTTCAATGATCCAAGAAGCATGCGTACGCAGATCTCTAGGTTTACGCACATTTTAGATTTCTCACTCCAAACTTTCTTGTACAGCTGAACATTTCTGTACTGCCGATACAAGCGAAGATGCGAGTTCCAGGAACTAGTTAATCAGAAGAAGAATCGATCTCTGGAACAAGGGCTTTATTCGACCGACGGTACGGATTCTCACTTGAATCTATCGTCAGAGACAGTGGCAGAAAAGGGTGACTCGTTTATAGGAAATCGCAGTATTTATAGGATGCAGTCGCTATGCTTCCGCATACCTATAGCAATTAACTGCGCTCCCCCTCGTCAAGGATGTCTACCCGCTGGTACGATAATTGCTTGATGGCTGGCATGAAAGTTGTTAATCGCCGAAATGCCATCACCCGTGTTAGATGCTGGCGTGATGATTGCTCGGACATTTTGAAGGACTACTCGTGCCTCACTTAGCCCTGTCAGTTCACTGGGGAGGTTCAGCAAACGTTTAACCATCACATCATCACCACGGGGCAACCTGTTTACGCTCATCCTCGCCGTCTTCACCCCGAAAAACTTCGGATAGCAAGGAACGAATTTGAGCATATGATGAATCTAGGAATTACTCGTCCTTCCTCCAAACCACGGGCTTATCCCCTCGACATGGTGCCCAAGAAATCGACTGATGATTGGAGACCATGCGGCGACTATCGCCCTCTCAACAGAGCCACTGTTCTCGACTGCTACCCTATTCCTCATATAGATGATTTATCTTACACGCTAGCTGGAAAAACTATTTCTTCCAAAAAAGACCTCATGAGAGCATACCACCAGATTCCGGTCGAGGAAGAAGACATCCGCATGATCGCCGTCACAATGCCTTTCGGCCTCTTTGAATTCCTTCGCATGCCTTTTGATTTGCGCAACGCGGCCCAATCCTTGCAACGCTTCATCGATGAGGTCTTCCGGGGTCTCTTATTCACTAATGTCTACATTCATGAAATATTCGTTGCAAGTTCTTCGGCAGAGGAACATGCCTCGCACTTGAGCCAGATATTCGATCGTTTCCAGCAACATGGTCTGCAATTAAACGTCGACAAATGTATCTCTGTCGTCTCTTCTCTAGATTTCCTTGGTCACCACGTCGACCAGCATGGAATCACGCCTCTGCTAGAGAAGGTGCAGAGCATCGTGTCATTCCCTGTCCCCAAGACTCTAACTCAGCGGCGACGTTTCATAGGCCTTCTCAACTATTACCGACCTTTAATCTCTCACTGTGCGGCGACTCTAGATCCCTTAACTGACCTTCTTAGGTCTAAAGCAAAGCCGATCTTGCTTCCTCCAGCAGCTCACTCAGCATTTGAGGCGGCTAAGAAGGCTCTTGCTGATGCCACATTGCTTCACCATCTCAGCTCCGATCCACACGCACAGCTGATCTTCACCACTGACGCTTCCAATAGTGCTGTCAGCGCAGTCCGGCATCAACAAGCGAATAACCAGTTGTAGCCATTCGCTTTCTTTTCACAAAAACTAAAATCGGCGCAGACGCGCTACAGTACGTTCTGCCGCGAACTCCTTGCCATCTACTTGGCCATTCGTCATCTTCGACGCCTCTTAGAGGGCAGGGATTTTTCGGTTTACATCGACCACGAACCTCTCTCTTACACCCTCAAGGCCAAGCCAGATCGGTACTCTCCCAGAGAAGTTCGTCATCTGGACTATATATCGCAGTTTACTGCAGATATCCGCTGCGTCCGAGGCAGCGACAATGTCGTTGCTGATGCATTATCCCGTCCGGACATCAACACACATCCGATTTCGACCTGGCGAAGCTTGCAGACCTCCAATCAGGCGACAAGTCCATTGACGACCTGCGTTCTACTACCACTCTGAAACTTCGAGATGCACCACTTCCCATATCCCCAGGCACGATTTTGTGCGAATGGTCCACAGGCACTCTCCGGCCTGTTGTTCCCTGTCCTACCGCAAGACAGTGCTTGGCTATCTCCATTCCCTGTCACATCCTGGCATCCGCTCTTCTTGTAAGCTAATCGCCACTCGTTTTTTTGGCTGAAGATGAACTGCGACATCGCTCTTTGGGCTTAACAGGGTTTAGACTTCCAGAAAAATCAAGTACACCGCCACACATTTTTTCCACCAAGTACATTTGCCGTTCCAAATGCTCGATTCCACCACGTCCACTTGGAATTAGTTGGTTCGATACCTCCTTCACGCGGATACACGCATATTCTGACAGATATTGACCGTTTCACGCGATGGCCGATTGCCGTTCCTATTTCTGATACCTCAGCAGAAAATATCGCCATGGTTTTTCTGACGCACTGAATTTCAACTTTTGGTGTTTCATCCACCCTTACTACTGACCGTGGGAGTCAATTCCAATCTAGCCTCTTTCGTGAGTTCGTTAAACTGCTCGGGTGTGCGCACATCACGACCACGGTATACAACCCTGCCTCCAACGGCCTCGTGGAACGTCTACACTGTCAACTCAACTCCGCACTGATATCCCAAACAGAATCAGCTTCTTGGGGTGACAACCTCCGTCTTGCGATTTTGGGCATCCGATCTTCTGTCATGGAGGACATCCAATGCACTGTCGCCGAACTTGTGTACGGTACACCTCTCCGTCTTCCTGGCGAAGTTGTGCAGTATTGCCCGACGAACACGATTCCGAGCACCTTCGTACAGCAGTTGAAACAACGCATGGCTCACCTGTGTCCAACCCCCACTCGTCTGACATTGAAACGTGTGTTTGTGCATGAGGACCTTAAATCTGATCCATTCGTTTTCGTTCAGCAAGACGCGGTTCGCAAGTCCCTTTGTTCCCCGTATGATGGCCCATATAAGGTTCTTCAGCGGATGGACAAGTATTATGTCATTCAGAAGGCTGACAAAACTGACATAGTCTTCATCGACAGACTAAGGCCAGCCTTTATTGAGTGCGGCACGCCGTCAGTTATGCCACCGACTTCCTCTGCACCGTCTTCACCCGATCCACCCGTTTCGGTCCCCTCGACTCAACCACCACACTCGACCACCCCACCCATCCTGACTCCCCGTCTACTCAACCACGCACCTCATCTCGTCCTGGTAGACATATCCATTTTCCTGCCAAACTCAAATACTTTTTTGGTGCAAAGTTTTGCATTTTGTTTATCGAGCGTTTCTTATGTGCAGAAAACGCTCTGGCGAGGTAATTGTGTAGGTTTATGTACACTTTAAATTTTTCACTCTAAATTTTCTTGTACACCTGAACATTTCTGTACTATTGTTTAAATTAATTAAAATACACACACTTGCCAAAATTTGGGGTCGTCAAGGTTCTGTCTCTCGTCTCGTTTGCGCATACACCGGTTGACGAAGTTGCGCGGGTAACCCTTTTCTCGGAAAACTCGTCGAAGATATTGGGATTCGGCAACCTTGTCTTCCGGTTCTCTGCAGTGCGTCTCAACACGCGGAAATAGCGTTCTTACGCAACTGCGCTTGTGGCTGATTGGGTGGCTACTGTTGAAGTTCAGTATTTGCGTCGTGTTCGTCGCTTTCCTGAACAATTTGGTCTTTAGGCCACCACAATCTTTGCGACAAACGAGGACATCAAGGAATGCCAGCTGGCTATTTTCTTCCTCCTCCATCGTAAATTGTACGTCCTATTGTATGTACTATTGTTTAAATTAACTAAAATACACACACTTGGTATCGACTTGTGAAATAGCGTGACTTTTGTGTCCGCCTGCTGCTCGGTGTCATTGTTTCGTTGATTGCACTCATTTTCCTCAATTGCTTTTAGTCAATTAACACGAAACTTTTATATCTTTTGGCCATATTTAACTGGACGTAATTTCACCTGAGCGACAAGCCTCATTCACTGAATTCGTCTCGGGATTTCACGCAGAACATTCATTCCACGGCCAACGATTCTGGAAGGCTTTATTTTTCTGAGTCTGTACAATTATTTACCTTTTGTCGTTGTTCTAATACGCATATGCTATCGTTATTCTTCTTGTAAGAAACGCAGCATCCCCCACTTAGAGCTAGGTTTTTATTATTATTTGTTGCGTAATTTTTGTTTTGCACTACAGATCTCCGGGTAAGGTAAAAACCATGCGCAGGCCTTGTATCCTTATATGGGCTTTCCACCTTTCTCCTGAAAGTCTAGAACAAAGGAAATATCCAGATCAGAATAGCAACCTGGTTTCCTGGGAAAACGTCTTTCCTGGCTTTCAACTCTCTGGCATCCTTATGTACAAACACTGTGCACAAGTTATCAGTTACAGACCCCGTGTTCTCGTTAAATTTACTATCTGCCCAGAGAACGCTAACAGTGTGATCCTGAGTTGCAAACACTTAGAACATAGACGGAGCTTGTCAGTGCTCATCAGTGTCACCTCCGTCTATTCGTCCGATATGTGGCGTCCAGTTACAGAACATCCTAATGCTTAGAATTCGTTGCCCGCAGAGCCGACATCGTAAAGCAGGAGGCCCACAAATCTTTTTGTCATGAGGAAGTCTGGGTCTCAGCCACCCTTCATAGAATACAGGGCGTTTTCTATGACAATCTGCTATTAGATGACGACGAAGGACACAGCAACGCCTGTTGACTTGGTCCTTCATTTTCTAATTCAGACCGTAGCAGCCTATGATTTAGATAGGTAAAAGGAATTTTACTTCTCAGATACATTTCAATCGCTCGGCTAATGGTCGCATCTGATGCATCAGATGTAGCAGATTATTTTCGTCCTTCGTCGTCAACCGCGAAAGCTTGGTGTATGCTTTAACCATTTGCCAACTACATATGTGATTGTGGCGCAAATTGGGCGCTTTCACGGGCAGTTTATCTTAAATTACTATGGTGGTAAAACATGCAATCCAATTTCAGGGACACAAATCGTTTGAAATCCAGCATAAGCCGCTTGTGTCGACTTTGTCCTGGAGCCACAACTGCAAAAGACCCCCAAATGAGAGTACAAGGAGTAAACGTAACGGTATCTCATAGTGTCAAACTGAAGGTGATTTATCGACAGCTCTTCACTATGATTGCGGCTGAAGTTAGTATAGAAAGCATGCAAAGTAACAGATCTGTTATTACGGCTTACCTCACGTAATCTTTCATCACGAAATTTAAATCAAGGAAGCTGTCGTAGGTTCCATGCTGAAAAATTTTCTTGAATAAAGAACACAGCGTTCGGGTCTGGTCTTGCGCAGATAGGCATGGTTACAATGAATTTGCATCTGTACCCAACGGCGAGTTAGGACGCAACATATAGAAGTCCGTCAGCCTGGGACCTGAGCTCTTCTGCCAAGAATGTCGGGACGCCACAGGCGTGACAACGAGACAGAACCCCCCCCCCTACGAAGAAACAAGCAAAAGAATGCATCACAGCCGTAAGGCTGAACAGTCACTTTATAGCTAACGCTAATTTAAACATACTTTCGAGTTGAAACCAACACGCACACGTATTTGCGGCTGTGGAATACAGACTTCTATGAATTGGAGCTTCCAGCAGGAAATTTGTGTGAATTAACAGACTTGAGGTGGTAACCGGTTTCCTATGCATGATCAGAGCAAAGTTCAGCACTCATCTCGCTAAAACGCGAAACTCCTTCTTCCAACGCGAATTTGTGTCCACAAAATAGCCATCGAAAACTCCGGCAGCACCAACTGTCCCCAGAATCTACCGTAGGCGTTAATTATTCAAACGCGCGCGCAAATAATAACTGGCCAAGCAGCGAAAAGAAGATAGCCAATCAGCGAATAGAAGCCAGCGGATCAGCGTACACCGCGTACGACCAGGCGAAATGTTGTAACGCCCCCTGGCATGAACAGGATTGTTTCAATGATGTTACACCTTTGGCGCGAACCTGGGGGTGGAGATGGTGTAAGAGCGTGCTGGTGAAGACGGCCGGTGTCCCCTCCTCTCGCTACCGCCGACACCCACTCTCCCGCATCGTACCGTCTCTCTCGTCTCACTCCAACTTAACGTCTGACTCCACTCGGACCTTCCCTGCGGTTTCCCATAGCGCTGCATACCCACCGGATATTGACCTAGTATGTCAGGGTCACTTATTCCTCCAGACAGGTCATCTATTCACAGTCGCTCATTCCACATGTACCCAAACGTTTATTATATACATTTTCCCTACCCGAGTCGTTCTATTATACGATTTCCATATATGATTTACTTTTTTCTCTTACATGTGAATATGTTCAAGATATGCAAACAGGTCTGTTCAGGTATACATCTGCCGGGAAGTCCTGACAGAGTTTCCTTAATTGGTGTGTGCAAACTTTGACGTCCTCGGCCGCTACAGTGTCGGTTCGCTGCTCCATCGCCGTACATTTTCAGCAGCTAGTGGCGGTGTAGATGATGGCGAGTCTATTAAGCTCGATGTGAGCTTGTAACGCACGGTGCCAACACCAGAAATAAAATAGAAAGTGCAAATAGTGCACCGGTGCAGTAGTGTAGAATATAGATGTCTCTCACCGA